CTGAAATCCTTATATCTTGTGAAGGTATTTTTGTGCACAGATAGATGTTCAAATTGATGTTTCTGCAAAGGGTATGAGCAATGGAAACTTACGTGCCACCCACCTTGCTGATTTCAGTCTCTTATGGTTAAACTTTAAAATTACAGACATGGCCCAAATCACATTGCAATTTACAATTATGATGGACTTTCTGGAATGGTTCTCTAATTTTCATATCTTGTATTTTCTGTCGCTTTTTTTTTTTTCTTTCTGGAAGCTTTTCTTTATCTTCTGAACATTGTTTTTCACTTCTGCTATCATAATTTTGATTTTGCAGAGTTCTTTTTTGGTTTCCTAAATGTTCCTTTTATAAAAAGTATCATTTTGTTTATGTTCTGTGAATGTAATTTCTCTTCTCTGAGGAGACCAATAACAGTGTTTTCATTGTTATTGTTGCTAAAGGTTTCCTTTCCCTGAAATTTTGTTTCATCTAAGTTATTCCCCCACCCCTTTTATTTGTTTGGTTTCTATCTTTTATGTAAGAGGCTTTACTCGGGTATTCAGTGATCCTTTGTTCTCTGCTCATATATAAGAGTAAATGCTAAAAAGCTGATCGGAAGTTCTGACCTATGAGTCTGTTGACTCTGAGCTTTACTGTACAATGAGTTGGCAGGGTTGTTCCTGGGGATGACCTGATGTCAAATCTTCAGGTTTTTTATTCTAGGGCTGGACAGATTTTACAGAAAAACATCTCTTAGGTTTCTACATGGAGATTTAGGATGGGTTGCTAGAATTCTGTAAGGTGAGTGAGGAATGAAGTCTGGATCTCAGCATTCAGTATGCATATATTCATTTAATGTGTTTTCAATGTGGTACTTATGCCTTCAGTTGTATCTAGTGCTCCCTAGTCCAGGGGCTCCCCATTTTACGTTCCTCAGGGAATAACACATCAGTCTTCTGCCTGGGTAGAGGAGATGTCCTGGAGATCAACTATTTCTTTATACACACTTTCTATAAACTCTCCCTATTTTTGACTCTATCTTTACCTTTCCCCCACTTTCAAGGTTCCTAGTATTCCCAAGTCCTGAATGACTAGAGGTTTGTGCTGAGTATATCCAGTTGCTTCTTGGTCTTAGGATTCAAACAGTCTGCTAAGTTTATTTACTTTCTAGTTTGCAAGTCTTTATTATTTTTATCTCTTCTCCTTTGTCCTTTGTTATTATGAATATATTCCTTGAAGAAAAACCTCTTTACTGTCATTTTAGAAGAATTTCAAGAGAGGCCAAAAGTACATGTGGTTAAGTTGCTGTCTTCACCAGAAGCTTGTTCACACTTTATTATGGCTATGTTATCATTTAGCACTGTCACTCATGGTAGCAAGTATAGCCATGCCACCTATTAATCACAGTATATAAAGCCAACAACATTAATTGGTAACAAGGAACAATATTTTTCTATAAAGATCAACTGATTTATGGCAAAGTAAACCTTCCCAAGAAAATGCTCTGAGACCCTTGATTAAATTCCCATTTGTAGGCTTTAAGACATATCAAGAACCTCCATGCCTTTAATGGTTTTAAAAAACCCTTTGAGGAAAGAAAGGTGAAAATAAGTGGTGACTATTAATGGTTTTCAAGTAAGTGACTAAGATGTGTCCATCTTTATTCAGAAAGATAAATTTTACATTATTGTAACAAACTGAACTTTTAACACTTGCTGGTTCAATTCCCAGTCAGGGCACATGCCTGGGTTGTGAGCCAGGTCCCCAGTAAGGAGGCACGTGAGAGGCAACCACACATTGATGTTTCTCTCCCTTTCCTTCTCCCTCCCTTCCCCCTTCTCAAAAAAAAAAGTAAAATCTACCCTCCCCCCAAAAAAACCCCATTATGTTAATAAAAACTGTACCACCTTGATGTTTAATGTTGCCATCAAAAACAGAGGAGTCATTCATTGGATCAAATGAATATGAGATCACAGAGTTTGGCCATGGTGACGTCCAGGCATATAACATCTGAGAGTTTTGTTTTGTTTTGTTTTTTAGAAATGAAGCTTTATATTTCTGCAAACTATAACACTAAAACACAGTGGCTTCTTTAATACATTCACACAGGATGCTTATTAGTAAAACTAAATATTTGCCTATGAATATCAGAAAAGTAACTTGAAAACAAAGAACTTGGAACAAGGCAAATGGGAGGGGAAAGCAGGTCTCATAACCCATTGTGCCATACCTGACTTTAACATGTGATATTCAAACAATTGTTCATATGCCTTACATCAAAGAAATGAAACAAAAATATTTAGCTACATTGTACAATTTTTTTTACATAAAACATTATAAATCTTGAACAGACTTACTATATCTGAATTCTAAAAAGAAAGCTAGAATACAAAGACTGATTATACTGCTTCAATATTTGCCTAAGTCTCATGATAGCTACCTTTAAATATTTGAGAATATCATGTGGTAGATAAATCAAATATAATTCTTTAGGTATTAGAGAGCACAAAAACAATCAATGTACAACTGATGTAATGTTCTAGGGCTTAAAGCTAGCTAATTAAAACGGTGTACCTCAGTATATAATTATTTGTTCCTGAAAGTTTAGAAGCAGGGCTGGCTGGATGGCTAAACACATACATGGTATGTTCAGAGGCAGTTTTCTTATTGGAAATAATAAATACTCTCTAAAGTTCTTTCAATTCAGATTTTCTTTTTTTCTTACCAAAGGTAACATTTTCTCAGAGTCTAGAAGTAATGACTGTTCATGATAGGAAAACTGAAAATAGACAAACAAACAAAAACTGCAAAACTACCCAAAGAGAACCGTTACTAAATTTTTGCTGTATCTGTCACCAATTTTCAGTATTAAAGTGTAATTATATTCATGGTAAACTGTATTTGTACAATTGTAGACATAAACAAGATTGCTTCTTACCCTTGTCCTCAGGCTGAATAAAATTAAGTTCTGGCCTGGAGATTTCTCACCCCTGATAAGCTATTGAAGAAAGTTACAGGAAACTCTATTATTGCTTAGGAAGTAACTAAATGTATATTCCTTTGCATAGTCAGTATACATGTTTAAGTACCTACTACCTTTAAAGGCATTGGCCGATGACCCTCAGACACAAAGTTGAATCACATGGTGGATAGAACACCTACTCAGAAGACCAAAGCAGAAGCAGAACATGATACAAACCAAGAGTGAAGGGCGGTTAAATGATACACACGAAGAGGGTTGCAAGAGCCTGTCAACAAAAAAGAATTTACTCAAAGACACTTTCTATGTCTAACCCTGACAGGAGCCAGCATAGGAAAGACTCAAGATCCTAACTTTGTAATCAGTGCAACAGGACCTTGAATAACTAACTTCATTTCATTCAACGTTGTTTTGTTATAATGCTGATGAAATGCTATGGGAACTTAATTCTTGTTTATATCAATTAGTCTATGGTTGTTTTGCTTACAGTCACAGAACCTATTGGTAGCATTAAGTGAGAACTTGCACTATTTTACACAGCACTCATCATACTTTAGTAAATGTATCATTTCTCTCACAAAACTTGTTTATTCCACCATGTCTTTCATAAGCCACAAACCTGATTTTTGCAGTGTTACCTACTACATTTTGTTAAATAAGAGTTTGATTTGATGTAAGGATATTTTCTTCATTATGTTAAAAGTTAAGTTTGATGGTCTTGTGCTCATATTCTGCTTTAGGAAAGCAACGTAAAGCACTGAAAACAAATATACTGGGTTGGCTAGTAAGTGCTAGTAGGTGCCAAGGAAATAAATATCAACAAGTCAAAATTAGGAGTTACTTTTTTCTATGATTGGCCTAATTTTGAGTCTCTTAAGCAGTAGGAATTTCACAACACCAAAAAAAAAATCTTTAGGGATTCCACAGCCTAGTTGGTAGAAGACAGACATGTAAACATGCTGTCTTGTATCATGAGCTATATTTTACATAGTGCTAAAGAGCCCAGGATTTGGAGTCATACAGACCTCGATTTGAATCCAAGCTAGGTCACTTACTAGGTGTACAATCTCTGTGAACTTCTTTCCCCAAATATAAAATGGGACAGCTGATACCTAAACTCAGTGATATGAGGATTAAATAAATCATTATGTATGAAATACTTGTTACCTGGCAAAGAATAATGCCTTAACAATATTTTAGCTGTTAGGTATGAGAAAGGCAACATGAAAGGCAGAAAAAGGGCACAAAAGAAACCCTTTGACTCAAAAAACCTCTTTTGGCAAAATTTTGTTAAGTTAGAGATCCAGTTATGAATCCCAAGGCATGAAAAGTTGATCTGAAGGGTTTTGCTTCTGGTAGTGATAAACTAAGAGTTTTGGTTAAATTTGACCCCCTGCCCGCCCCCCCAAGGAAATCTGGATTAAAAATTGTTTGAAGGCATGGATTATTAACAGGGCAGTGAAAAATTAGGGGGCCAGCTATAAAAGGAAATCCAGAGAGGAGAGCCTAGCATTTGAGATACTCTTTCCCTTGGGGCATCTGCTGATTTTGGAAGAGGGGCTTGACAAGCTGAGAAGTTGAACTTCGAGTTGCTAGTATTTTGGAAGTAATATTTGGGTCTATCTTCATAATATATGCTAGTCTGCAGTTTTATTTTCTTGTATGTGATTCTCTGGTTTTGGTATCAAGTTGATACTGGCTTCATTCACAATTAGCTCTTCTTTCCCTCTCCTATTCACTACTGTGCCATAAATGTCATAAAACAGAAATTCACAGTGTCTATTTCCACATTCAATATAAATGCTTACTAGCCCTCCTTACCCTTTGGGATAGTTCACATGTCACTACACCTCTGTTTATGGGGGTAACAGCACTTTTCCTGATATGCTGTGGGACTCTGATTCAGTCTGAGAGGCAGAGACTGTGTCTAATTCATCTTGGTACCACCTGGTTGAGTAGGCATTCACTAGGTACGCATCATGACTTTTTCAAGCCTTGTTCATGTGTTTAACATCTTGGCAAAGGAAACATAAGTCATACCTGGTGGGGTTCCTTTTATCTTCCTCAGATATCAAAAACCAAACAAAATCTGCATAGCTCATTCTTCCCTCTTTCTGTACTGTTCTTCCCCTGGGAAAGAAAGACAAAACACATCAAGTTTCCTCAGAAATTACTCAGATAAATTCAGTAGAATGATACACAAAGAAATAAAGTAATATCTTCCTTTGGAAATTAAATTTTTAAAAAATTAGAATGCTGGCACCCTCACAAGGGCAACCCCTTTCATGGTCTACCTTGTTTTCAGAGGCCTAGAGGGTAAAACCAGAAGGCATTTGCAGATATGTAGGAAAAAATCTCGTTTGTAATTTAAGTGCAAATAATCACCAGGATCAAATACTGCTACCTGTATTTAGATAAAGGGGTAATGCTCATATATTAAAGAATTACTACTGTTTTGTATGAAGCCATGACTATAATATGTATCGTAGGGTATTATCTGATCTACAACACCCTTAAGTTATGCAGGAAGCCTTGTTACAATTTTACTTGTTTATTTTTAAATTATGCTTTTTCTTACCTTGTTACTGCCCCAGAGAATATCCTTTCAATAATTCTGTTTGATGAAGCTAAATATAAGTAAAAAAGTACAAAGCTAGTTAAAAACATGCTCCATAAAGGCAGTACTTTTGGCAAATTTGTTTTCAGTAGCTATAAGCTAAAACATAATAATCTTCCATGAGGGAATATGAGTACTTAAAATTTTATTTGTGCATAATTTATACTGTTTGGAAATAAGAATTGGAGGTTGCTCAATCAATCAATTAATAATTTTAAAAAAACAAACTAATAGATGTGCCCGGCAGCTGGAATGTATTAATATAGTTGAGCACCAAGTTCTGGATATCCTGATATCTAAGATAAAGTGTACAGAAGTTGTATTGCTCTTGTTACCTAAAAGGACAACTTTTCTTTTAAAACAAGACAAATTTTATCCTAGCACTCAATTCAAGGGGGAACTGATCATCAGCTCCTAGTATAAGGGATATTGAATAAAACAATGAAGAATGTGTTCAGGTAGACTTTTACAAAAGATACCAAAACATACCATAAACATAGAGCTTTTATATTCTCAGCCTATAAAAGCCCAGGATATAACATGATATAATGTATAATTTTTAGAAATTTCATCAGTGTTTTATTCAAAGAGAGAAGCAAATTTATCTTAGGATAGTATGTTGCTTTTGATGATAGATCCTAGATAATCTAGAGCAGTGATTTTCAACCATTTTCATTTCACGGCACACAGGAAAACAAACTACTAAAATTCTGTGGTGCACCAAAAAATATATATATTTTTTGCTGATCTGACAAAAAATAGGTATAAAGGAGGTACAATTTTGATTCATTCACACTGGATGGCTATTGTTTGTTGGCTGTTGTCATTTTTCATTTGGCAACCTAAGGGAAAAGAGGTCAGTACCCCTGATTAGATAGTTGGCTATTGCATGTTTTAAAAATTCTTGAGGCATACCAGTGTGCCTGCCATGGCACACTAGTTGAAGATCACTGCTCTAGAGTAGCATACCTTATTGTGGGTTCAAAATAACTAAAACCATTAGTTTTTTTAAAAAAGAAAATGACAGTGGATCTCAGACCTAGGGATGTGGTGAGGACAGAAATTTGTTCTTTTAACAAGTGCCCCAGACAATGGCATGCACACTAAAATTTCAGAACCAATGATAAGGTCATTAGAGAGTAAGCAGCAATCAGCATCTAACTCTTCTGCATAAAGTTATGTACAGTCAACATAAAGGTAAATTAGCTTGGCTGAAGAATGTTGAGAATATGGGGTGTCAGTACAGCCACGTTTGGCTACATATCAAAGCTTATATAATGACCCTCTAGACTTTGAACTTTGGTTTATTGGGTTAATAATTTGAACTATATAGAAAAAAAGAGGTATAGAAAAGGCAGGGATATTTAATTCCAAAGCTAATGTATTTTTGTAAGTCTTTTTTTAGATTTGGAAGGTTCGCCTCCTAAAACTGAAGACTGTATTGTTCCATTAAGGATAGGTTGGAGGGTGGACAATTACATAGTTTCAGGGGCCCCTTTATCATTCAGGCCTAGATGCCTGTTTTTCCAGACTTCATCCCTTTAACGTGCCTATGTGAGTTGTGTGTGGATATGCTATATTTTGGGACATACGGAGAATTATGCTTATGTTAGCTAGACAGGGTGCTTTAGAGCCCACAGGGTTTCTCATGACCTCGGGAGACTGGCTCACATACAGATGACCTGGCCACTGGTAATTAGAAGGTACATCACTAATAAAGCTGACCCGATGAATATCTCCATCTGTGTGTGCTATTTTGGTGACAGGAATGTTAGGAGTACTAAAATGCAAATACACTAGAAGTATATTTGAGTATTTTCCTTTAAATGCCTGGTTGGCACCTGAGAATTTGAGAGGTAGGACTCTTTTCTTAAATATGGAAGTTCTATAAAACTTGACATCATATAGAATGAACCTTTTCTTAAGATGTATACAAATATGCCAAATAGCAGAAGTAAAATTCAATGCATTTATATAAGGTTTGTACTCTGCTGCATCTAAAAGACAAAAGACTGATTTAAAAAAACAACAGTGCCCGAGAAGACATTTAAGAATGGAACAGGGGCAATACTGAAAGAGAAGAATGAATCAATGTATCTTGGTGCTTTGTTAAAATACTAAATCAGTAGGTAATAGGTTCTAAGTTTATTGGTAAACATGAAGCAAAAAGGGTAGGTGATATATAATTTTTTTTTTTGACAAATGAAAGCCCACAAAATTCATCAGCCAAAAACCAAAATCTTTTCTAGAACTAAATTCCAAAAGGTATGTTTTTATCAGTGTCCTTGAAAACACTGGCATGTTAGAAACATTATTTTCATCCATGGCTGTGTATAAATATTATAAAATAAGAAATTTATAAAGGTGTATACATATTTTTTCAAATAAATTTTACACAGGTGTGGATCTTATTCAATTCATAATCAGAAAATAAACATTACTTCAGAGACTCCAGTTCATCAAAACTAAGACTTTAATTGCTTACTTACCTCCAAAACCCTTCTTGTACACTTGCCTTCTAAATTAAAAAATTAGTATTTTCACTTAAAAAGTCTTGGTCCTTTAAAGAGTATAGAATTTAAGAAATGAGAATTCCCCATAATGAGTGGGGACAATTTATATAACTCTTGCCTTCTTCAAAACAGTTAAGTCTAAACATCTATAGAAACTCACCCTGGTCATTGTATCGGGATAGATCAGCCTGGCTGATGTAGAGGTCATGATCACTATCTAGTTCCCAGAATTTACAATAAATAACATAAAAGTGTTCATAGGAAAAGTAGTCTGTGATTTGGTTTATATCTTCCTCTTCTTCCAAAAGGGCTAGAGTCTGGAATGGTATAAATAAAGAAAATTTATTATAAAATTATGAAAACTCAGCTTTGGTCATTATACTGAACTTAGAAAATTTTTATTTTAAATTGAATTAGAAGTTTTGGGTTTAGTATCAACAGGGAACTTTATTTATTTTTAACATCTTACAGATGGTTTTTATTGTCACACCCACAAAAAAAAGCCATAAACAGTATTTTTTCCACCACAGATTAAAAAACAAACAAAACACCAATGACAAAACTGTTACTTTAAAATCTAGTGTTTTAACCATGTAGCTAATGCTTTACACTTTAATTATACATATTATTAAAACTCTTTTCATTTTTACTTTCTTTTAAAATTTATTTTTTATTGTTGTTCAAGTAGTTTTCTCCATTTCCCTCACCACTCCCCCTGCCCCATCCATCCCCACCTCCCACCCTTGATCCTACCGACTTCTGGCTTTGTCCATGTGTTCTTTATACCTGTTCCTTGATGACTCCGTTATCCTCTCCCCTCTCTCCTCTGGTTACTGTCAGTTTGTTCTTTATTTCAATGTCTCTGGTTATATTATGCTGGCTTGTTTGTTCTGTTGATGAGGTTCCACTAATAGGTGAAATCATATGGTATTTGTTTTTCACCACGTGGCTTAGTTCACTTAGCCTAATACTCTTCAGTTCCATCCATGCTGTTGTGAAGTGTAGGAGCTCCTCCTTTCTGCTGCGTAGTATTCCATTGTGTAAATGTACTATAGTTTCTGGATCCACTTATTTACTGATGGGTACTTAAGTTGCTTCCAACACTTGGCTATTGTAAATTGTGTTGCTACGAACATTGGGGTGCCTAAGTTCTTTTGGTGTTTCAGGATTCTTTAGGGTATAATCCCAGCAGTGGAACTGCTAGGTCAAAAGGCAGTTCTATATTTGTTTTCTGAGGAAATCCCATACTGTTTTCCTCAATGGCTGTACCAGTCTGCATTCCCACCAACAGTGTGTACTAGGGTTCCCTTTTCTCCACAAACTCTTCAGCACTTGTTTGTTGATTTGGTTATGATGGCCATTCTGACTGCTGTGAAGTGGTATCTTGTTGTTTTAATTTGCATCTTTCTGATGGCTAGTGATGCTGAGCTTCCTTTTACAAGTCTCTGGGCCCTGTGTATGTCCTCTCTGGAGAAGTGTCTGTTTAGGTCCTTTGCCCATTTTTTAATTGGGTTGTTTGTCTTCATGGAGTGGAGTTGTATGAGTTCTTTATATATTTTGGAGATCAAACCCTTGTCCAAGGTATCATTTGCAAATATATTTTCCCATCTGGTTGGTTCCTTTTTCATTTTGCTGATGTTTTCTTTAGCCATGGAGAGGCTTTTTATTTTGCTTACTCCCATTTGTTTATTCTTTTCTTTATGGAGATTTTCATGCCTATACACTCTCCTCTAGGACTTTTATGGTGTCTCAACTTATATTTAAGTCTTTTATCCACCTTCATTTTATTTTTGTGTTTGGTGTTAAGTTGGTGGTTGAGTTTCATTTTTTTGCATGTAGCTTTTCAGCTCTCCCAGCACCATTTGTTGAAGAGGCTGTTTTTAATCCATCTTATGCATCTGTCCCTTTTGTCAAATATTAATTGACCACAGAGACATGGGTTTATTTATGGGCTTTCTATTCTGTTCCATTGATCTATGTGTCTGTTCCCCCAGTACCAGACTCTTGATTACAGTGGCCTTGTGGTGTAGTTTGATATCATGTATTGCGATACCTCCAACTTTGTTCTTCCTCAAAATTGCTGAGTCAATTTGGGATCATTTATGGTTCCATATAAATTTTTGAAATGTTTGTTCTATATCTGTGAAATATGTCATTGGTATTTTAATAGGGATTGCATTGAATCTATAAATTGCTTTGAGTAGTATGGACAGTATGATGTTGTTAATTCTTCCAATCCATGAACACTGCATATGCTTCCATTTATTTGTGTCTTCCTTAATTTCTTTCTTTAGTGTTATGTAGTTTTCTGAGTACAGGTCTTTTACCTCCTTGGTAAGATTTATTCCTGTGTACTTTATTTTTCTTGTTGCTATAGCAAGTGGGATTTTCCCCCCGATTTCTGATTCTGATATTTCATTGTTGGTGTACAAAAATGCCTTCGATTTCTGAATATTGTATCCTGCTGTTTTGCCAAATTCACTTCTTAGGTCGAGTAGTTTTTTGGTGGAGTCTATGGGATTTTTCTATGTACACTATCATATCATTTGCAAACACTGACAGTTTTACTTCCTCTTTTCCAATTTGCATGCCTTTTATTTCTTTTTCTTGTCTGATCACTGTGGTGAGGACTTCCAATACTATTCAGCTGGCAACTTTAATAGGCAGCTTCATCCTCCCTTTAATCACCTGATCAATCTGTAAGCATTTATGAGCTCTGCAATATGCTTAGCAAAGGGTTAGATGTTATGGAGGATTTAGTAGCAAGGAAAGGAAAGGACCATCACCAAGGGGCTGCAGCCTATCAGGGGTCCCCAGACCAGCAAGCACAGAACAGTTAGACAACAGGCTTAGTTACATGGCCATATACTAACATCCCTTTGAACTTCAAAGTGACGTTAAGTGATTAACATCACTTAACAAAGTGATTAGGCAAAGTGACCATCTACTCTATTATGAAGAGTGGGCATCCACAGATAGGGCTTGGTTTTGTAATAAAATGAAGTTTACCATAAAGGTGACTTATGTATACCATTGTGATGATGTGTGATGGCCCATCATAGAAGCACGGTGGGGTGCGGAACAAAGCTTCAGAGTCCTGAGCTGTAAGTAAAACTGGGTCTCCCCTGACTCACTGTGCACCCTTAGGGGAAAAACCAGAAACAATGATTTTGAAACCAGAACTCTTAAAATTAGCCAAATTATCATCTAAGGGCAGATAAATAAGACATTTTTAGAAATGAAAGATTCAGAAAGGAGAAAGCAAAGGAAACTTAGGATATAGAAAAAAAGACAATGAAACGACAAATAATATCTGCTATATTGACTATAACAATAAAGATAATGAGTTAAACTTCCCTATTAAAAGACTTTCCAGCCCTAGCTGGTGTGGTTCAGTGGACTGAGCATTGGCCTGCAAACCAAAGGGTTGCCGGTTCGATTCCCAGTTAGGGCATGTGCCTGGGTTGCAGGCCAGGTCTCCAGGAGGGGGCGCATGAAATGCAACTACACATTGATGTTTCTCTCCCTCTCTTTCCTGCTCTAAAAATAAAGAAAATCTTTTAAAAAAAATTTAAAAACCAAAAGATTTTCCAATTGAATATAAAAACCGAACCCCCAAAGCAAAGCTAGATATATGCTGTCCAGTAGAGGTAAGTCTAAAATAAAACTTAAAAGAACAGTTAAAAAAAATAAAGATGGAAAAAATAAAGATAGAAAAACACATACTATCTAAATCTCAATGGAAAGAAAACATGTGTCAATATTATGGGAAAATAAAATGGAATTCAAGGTAAAAAACATTAAGGGACAAAGATGACTATTTCATAATGTAAATATATTACTTTGATAAAAAATATTTTCTAAAATGTAAATACTGGGAAAAGAAAATGACTTGTCAAATTGAAAGAAAACAACATAGATTATTAAATTATGGGAATTCTACTCAATGGGAGATTATGCATCTAGTAAAAATTATAAAGTCTACATAGAAATAAAGGAAAACTGTGATAAGTGCAAAATACACAATACACAATTGTACACGCTAAGAACTATGTAAAATTCTAATCTCCAAATATGCACATGAATGAGACTAGAATAACATATAAAAATGATATTAGTTGTATTGTGATAATATGTGATTTTTCTATTTTCCAAATTTGCTTGTAATGTTTTATTTTATAAAATGCTCTTTAATGTGTAAAAAGCAGAATATGTACAATAAAACAAATCTTGAGCAGGAGCTCTCATTTTCATAAAATGAAAAAGAGGAGTAACTTCTGCTGTTGATGAGTATGTAAGTGTAAGTATGAACAAGTACAGGCCCTTAGAAGGAAATATACTCACATCATTCGATCAAGCATTTTCCCTCCAGTAGTCTATTCTAGAGAAATTCTTACTCATATACAAGCAAGAGGAAAGTACAAAGATGTTCACTACATCACTGTACAGGGGAAGTATGAAAATGACTTGAACATCATCAGTAGAGGAATATGTAATTAATTACAAATGGTATACTCATGCCATAGATTATGCAGTACTTAAAAGAATGATAAAGATTTATTTGAATGGGAATGAAAAGAATGTTGACATGTTGTTAAGTAAAACAAAAAACAAAAACAACCCCACCCCCCAAAAAACGCAAGTTAACAAAATAGTATGATCACATATATTAAAAAAACTAAAAAAAACAGCCACACAAAACTATATACTCCATGTACATATATATAAAACCACAGGGGGTGAAATGGCAGGGTGATTAGATAAACAGTGACTTCAGATTATTATTCCAGGTATGTTCATGTTATTAGAATATTTTATGAGCACACAGTCATTACTGAAAGGAAGGCTAAGAGAGGGGTAGGGAAGAAAATAGAGGGGAAAATAAGTCATGCTCTTGGAAGCACAACACTTGGGTTCTCTTTCCAATTCAGGTACTTACTTTCTGTTTGATCTTGTCTAAGTCATTCAACCATACTTGGGCCTCAAATTTTATCATAATTAAAAAAATTATTCATTATAATAATGACCCAGAAACTACAAACTCTGGTGCTTAGGAATGTGAGGTGTAAGGCCTCTTCTATGAAATTATTGTCATTTCAACACATCCCATATTACCTATTGAGAGCCCAGACATGCACTGGGCATCAATAAATGTTAGTAATAACTGTGATGATTAGTGTTCATTTTAGAATACACAAAGTTTGTGTATTTATTATGGGCTGTTAATTTTGTCAAGTCTTCATTACTTTGTTCCAGATAAAGATGGGGGGAAAAAAGAGTAAATAAGGTTGTCTAATGTATTAACCTAAACTTCATTTAGTATAATTCATTTATAATATATGTCATGTATTTTCAAGTGTGAACAATTCTACCTTTTTCAGGTTAATAGAAACTTGAACAATCAGGCATGAAGATTACCTCAGTAAGAGGTTCCCACTAGTGGTCAACACTTTCTCATAAAATAAATAAAATAATTGAATGAAATGTTTTCTTTCTTAAAAGGAATTTTTAGTACTTTTTTCTAGCAGGAGCTGAGTAAAGAGTCGTTGCTGAAAGGATCAAGCTGAAATTTTTCTATTTCTTTTGCAAGGACCTTCCCAACCCGGAGCCATCTCACCCTTCAGGCCTCATCACTGGTTGCTCTCTCTGTGGATTGGCCACTTAAGACTTTTGCAGTTCCTGAGCATGATATTGTACTCTCATGCTGAGCCTTTGCTTATGCAGCTTTCTTTATCAGGAATCCCCTTTTCTTCTAATTTTTTTTTAATCTTGGTAAACTCCTGATATCTCCAATGTCAAGGTCACATATCAGTCCTTCTGTGAAGTCTTCTTTGCATATTTATTATACACTTCTGTGATATTTTGCAAATCAGGTATGGCTGTGCACTTCTCTTTTGCTCCACAGTGCATGTGCTGATGTAAAAATCCCTTCTTATTCATCTTTGTTCTCCCCAACACATCCCAAGTGTCTGGTAAATGCTTAATGACTTAAAATAGTGACAGAGCTTTGCATACAATAAGCACTCAAATATTATACTTGTTAAATGAAGTAAGAATATTATTTAAATTGTTCCTGATATGTGGATTACAATAAGAGGCATACTTGCAAAAAGTTGCTTTTTCTTATCTCTGTCGAAGTAATTTTTCCACTCCAAGATCTGTTCACTGTGTAGAATATTCTCTGAATAACCTGGTTCCAAAGGAAAACAAAACCAAATAAAATCATTAAAGGTATCAGTTCCTTTATCAAGACCATCGCATCTTATGAACATAACTTTGAATCAGTTAAGTTTTGGCTTTTGATTATGCCAAGTGTCATTTCTAGTAAAATTAACACTATGAAAAATCTACAGCCATATAGTTTGCATCTGTCCCTATCAGTCCAAGATGAAAAAAAATAACTTTTGGTTACAAGTCTGCATTTACCAGCTGCCTACATGCCAATTTCTTTGTTTACCTTTCATCTCATATAGTGATGCCTGGTTCAAGTAGAGCTTATTGGGCTGGATGTTTTGGGAAGGTAAATCAAATGGAAAATATGTGCTGGGTTCACTTAACAATTAATGGGTCAGAAGAATAGCTGCCGATGGGATAGGATTCAAGAAAGCATTGCTCTGGTTATTATAGCCTTATTCATTGGAGTCTTTACATCTGGAGTCCTTATTTGGGCATCAACAATTTGTTGCTAGCTTGTGTTTTATCGAGTTTAACAGATATGAAACTATGGAGAAGACAATGGACAGGTCTGGAGGGGTAGGGATGTATCTGAGACTTAGGATGCATATACTGTGGTGTAGTGGAGAATTGGAAAAGAAAGGCAAGGCTGCAATACTGGAGGGAGGAGGCTACAGTGCATTCTTAACAATTTTACCTGAGCTTATTCCCACCCATTTAATTTCCTTTTGATCTATTAGGTTTTTTCCCCCCCTTTAAAAGGAAGCAGTGATGAGAACAATTTAAGCAACTGTTTTTTGGGATACTCTGGTTTTGATTGTCCAATAACATAGAAGTCCTGTGTCCTTGGTGGTTTTATTATGGAAGAGGTCAGAACACTTTAAAAAGCTATTTTAGTGTGAGAATAACAAAAAAGGGAAGGCATTTGGACATTTATCCCCAAAGTAGACCTAATGAGGGACTAAGCTACCATTCTGCTTCTGGTTCTTTAGCAGAGTGATTTTCAAACAGAACAGCGAAAATACAGACTCAGAAGGTCCAGACTTCTGCTCCCCAGCATTCCTCACCCCATCCCTGCTCTCAGTGCAAACTCCTTCGGACCCTTCAGAATTAGGCTGCCTTGTCTCCTGTGCTCCTGCCATCACCTGGCTCCTCCAGTCACCTTGCGGTTATAACCCAAACATTGGTGTGCCTGACCATCAGCACCTCCAAACTATATGGAAACAGGTCTTTTCTGACTTGCATGCCAAGGCCTGACATGCTGGTATGCATATATCAGATGGTCCATGATTACTTGATAAGTTTTTTTTAAAATTGAGGTTAACTGACATATACATTGTATTAGTTTCAGATGCAGAGCACAATGGTTCAACATTTCTATATATCATGAAATCCGCACAAGAAATCTCCTTAACATCTGTCGCCACACATGGTTACAGAAGTTATTCCTCCTTGTGATGAGAATTTTTAAGATTCAGTCTCTCAACAATTTTCAAATATGAGATATGGTATTATTAACTATAGTGACTAACCTGTACACATCACGTCCCAGGTCTTATTTTATAACTGGAAGGTTGTATCTTTTGACTCCCTTCACCCATTTCTCCCTGCCTCTGGCAACCACCAATCTGTTCTCTATGAGCTTATTTCTTCGTTTTTTAATTCCACATATAAGTGAGATCATACAGTATTTGTCCTCCTCTTCTGACTTATTTCACTCAGCATAATACACTCAAGGTTCATTAATGTTAAAAATGGCAAGATTTTGCTCTTTTTTTTTTGTGGCTGGATAATATTCCATTTTGTGGAATTTTCTTCATCCATTGATGGACACAAATTGTTTACGTATCTTGGCTATTATAATAATACTACAATTAACATGAGGTGTACGTATCTTTTTAAGTTAGTGTTTTCATTTTCTTTGGTTAAATACCCAGAAGTGGAATCGCTGAATCATATGGTAGTTATATTTTTAATGTTTTGAGGAGCCTCCATACTGTGTTCCATAGTGTACCAGTTTACATTCCCACCAACAGTGTGAAAGAGGTCCCTTTTTCCCACATCCTCTCCAACGCTTGTTATTTCCTGTGTTTTTTATAATAGCCAGGTGTGAGGTAATATCTCATTGTGGTTTTGAGTTTCATTTCCCTGATGATTAATGATATTGAGCAGCTTTTCATGTACCTTTTGGTCATCTCTGTCTTCTTTGGAATACTGCTTGATAAAGTAATGAGGTTTGAAAGTTATATAACAGAGAGTTTTGTCAAAGAAACGGGTTGGATTCATAGCTAGTTCAATAACTCTACTCAGAGTCTGAATAGCAGATGGATGCCAACCCTAGAAAGGTTTCTAGTGAATATTTCACATAAAGCAGTATTGTCTGAGTTATAGACTGAATATAAAACGTGCAGAAAACAAAAAAAGGGTAAATATATTCTAAATTATTGTTAAAGATACTACCAATGTACTAGTGTTTATTTATTTTTTTATTGTTGTTCAAATACAGTTGTCTCCATCTCCCCCCAATCATTTACCACCTCCCCGGACCACCCCCTTTTGGCTTTGTCCATGTGTCCTTTATACATGTTCTTTGACAGCCCTTCTTCTATTTTCCCCCATTATCCCTCTCTCTCCTCCCCTCTGGTTACTGTCAGTTTGTCTTTATTTCAATCTCTCTGGTTATATTTTGCTTGCATGATTGTTTTCTTGATTAGGTTCCACTTATAGGTGAGATCATATGGTATTTATCTTTCGTCACCTGGCTTATTTCCCTTAGCTGCAGGAATTTGGGAAAGAAGAACAAAGTTGGAGGGATCAGAATATCTGATATCAAACTATAATACAAGGCCACTGTAATCAGAACAGTCTGGTACTGGCATAAGAACATAGACCAATAGAACAGAATAGGGAACGCAGAAATAAACCCATGTCTCTATGGTCAGTTAATATTTGACAAAGGGGGCAGATGCATAAATAATGGAGTAAAAATAACTTCTTCAACAAATGGTGCTCAGAGATCTGGACAGCTACATGCAAAAAATGAAACTCGACCACCAGCTTACACCATATACAAAAATAAATTCAAGGTGGATAAGAGATTTAAATGTAAGTTGTGACACAATAAAAGTCCTAGAGGAGAACATAAGCAGGAAACTCAGATATTCCAGGCAGCAATATTTTCACCGATGTGTCCCCTAGAGCAAGGGACATAAAGGAAAGAATAAACAAATGGGACCTCATCAAAATAAAAAGCTTCTGCATGGAGAAAAAAAAAATTCAGTAAAATGAAAATGGGAAAATGTATTTGCAAATGATACTCTGGACAAGGGTTTGATCTCTAAAGTATATAAAGAACTTGTATGACTCCACTCCAGAAAGACAAACAACCCAATAAAAAATGGGCAAAGGACCCGAACAGACACTTCTCCAAGGAGGATATACACAGGGCCCAGAGACATGTAAAAAGAAGTTCAGCATCACTAGCCATCAGAGAGATGCAAATTAAAGCCACAATGATATACCACTTCACACTAGCCAGAACGACCATCATAAACTAACCAACAAACAAGTGCTGGAGAGGTTGTGGAGAAAAGGGAACCCTAGTACATTGTTGGTGAGGTGCAGACTGGTATAGCCACTGTGGAAAACAGTATGGGATTTCCTCAGAAAACTAAAAATGGAACTGCCTTTTGACCTAGCAATTCCACTGCTGGGATTATACCCTAAGAATCCCAAAACACCAATTCAAAACACCAATTCAAAAGAACATACGCACCCCAATGTTCATAACAGCACAATTTACAATAGCCAAGTGCTGAAAGCAACCTAATGTTTATTCTGGAATAAAGATAAGGCTAGTGTAGTTGTGACCATGATCTGAATGGCTAACTATCAAGTAGAAGAAGGTGACTTTTCTGTTTTGTACCAGAGGGCAGAACTAGACAGAAATGTCCTTATACTGAAATGCTTCAATATAGAGGAGTTTCCTAAAATTAGCGCTATAAAGCAACGGGTTGTATGAAGAGGTGAGGTTTCTTATCATCACAATTATTTAGGCAGAAGTTGTCAGGATTCCTGCACTAGCGGGGGTGGGGCGGTGGTGGTGTTGGGACTACCTGGTTTCTAATTCCCCAACTGGCCCCAATCACTCCGACTCTGACTGAGGTGCTTCCTGGGAGACAATGTGTCTTACTTAACACTGGATTCTTAGTACTAGCTTGGCAGAAATTCATATGAAAAAGGTGGAGGATTTTTAGCATTGGATGGAGATAGATAGATATATATATATATATATACATATATATATGTGTATATATATACATATATATATATGTATATATATATGAATGAAAATAAATATTAAGAATATCATGTATCACAGTTCCATGTCCCCTCTCTCAAGTTAGTTAATTTCAATACATATTATTATACCAAATTTTACTTTGTTGATCATTATTAGACTTTTGTGCTTAGTTCTTGATTTTGAATGTAAGTTTATCTTAAAGTCTAAGTTTCCTATCTCTATAAATATTTACATATTCTTAAAATATTTTATATTACTTAAGAAAGTGCTGTTACACTTAAAATTATAAACCTTTATTTTACATTTTTGCTTATTCAATTTTTTGTTTTCAACAGAATTTTTAAGATTTGAAAATGTTTAGATTGTTAAACATTTTGTTTTAGCCTCTTCAAACCTACTTATCTAATATTTTACAAAAATGTACCCGTGTGCCATTTTCCATTGCCTAAATCCCCTTATTTAGTGGCTCTACTTTGTCAGCACATTTATTGGTCTGCTCGTTACTGATTCAGCATTTTAGCTTCCCGAGGTAAGGGCACCATCTAGTGGTGAGAGCATGTAGCTGCTGGTTCTACATTACATTTTTTCCCTTTAACTTTGGACTACCACTTTTACGGAATAAAAATGAAATTATTTACATTAAAAAAAGTACAGCATTTTAAAATCACTAATAATAATAGTAATTGTTTATGGCCAGTGAAAGGAATAATATT